ATGTATTATGTATGACTTCCTCGTTGGTCTTGGTTGAATCCCGGGTCGGGTCAACAAAATCAATTATTGAGTTTTTCCGTTAAGAAATTCTCAGTAGCTGCCCGGAGTCGGCAAGTTGGCGGTGTCTCACCCCCGTGCCTCGGAAAGCAAGAAAGTCGTTGGTCCTGCGCCTGATCTTTCTCCGGTCGTGTCGGTTTACCGTCCCATCGGATTATGAGAGTGAGGGAATAGAGAGTGCACCTGTGCTTGCGCATACACTTGGGCACTATAATCCTGTCCTGCGCCGATGGCTAGCCTCCGTTGAGGCAGGCCGCCGTGACCGAAATCCAGTCTGGATGACATTATTATTATTATTATGTATTATATGTCATTTTAATTATGTTTCACAAAGTAGAATGATTAACGTAATAAAATCTTTATTAAAATGTAACTTATACGTGTTTTCTACTGCAAATAGCTTGTGATGTTTCCTTGAAACAAACAATAGATTAATTTCGTGGTACAGAATATACAATAGGCGTTTAAAATGTGCTAGGCTACTATTGTTTCTAATATTGGCATAACTACAGAATAAATAATAGTACGCCTCCTCCGAAATAAGGAAAATGACTCACTCACTGGGTATCTTTACGTGTACATATGTACATATAGTGTGGGGCTTGTTACTCAACTTCGCTCAATTTTTTTAAATAAATGTGTTTATACATGTATCACTATGTCTAAAAGGCCTTATCGATTGAATTAAACTACTTTTACTAACTTTTTCTTTTTAATTTAGTTGATTTTAATTCCCGACGTTTCGGGTGCTTTCCAGCACCCATGGATTTGATGCAACAGTTACTAAGCGCTTTGTTGCGGTGCTGCAGTTCGAATTCGAGTTCAAATTTCGCACAGAAGTATTGCGGTCTATAAAAAATTGTTCCGGGTCTGTATGTTTTTTCCATGTGCAATATATGTTTATAAGACGCCTACACGAAACAAGAGAAAAGCCAGAGTATGGGGCGGTAAAGTTAAAAAAGTATGCGGTCATATTGCTTCGATAATTTTTCTTTTTATCCGTAGCGATCGTTACTTTTATTGCTTTTCTATTTAAAAGTGACCCAATTGAAATTTTGACATGCATCACTTATTTTAAATCCTTATTTTAATTTTTTTTTGCGTAACTACATCAATTTATTGAGTGAAAGAGAATTTTGGGGAAATTTTTTGAGTGTAACTAAGGAAAAAGAAAGAAAGAAAGAAATGCATTTTATTCCAGTTTAAGCATGCAGCATAACAAGTAAAAAGTAGTTAAATGCCAAAAGATAAATATAACTAAATTAAAAGTAATTTAATATTATTATAAATTTAAGAAAACCTTTTAAAAATACCCTGTGCTGCAGCATGAAACCGTGAAACGGACCGGACTCAGTGATAGCACTGGTTTTCAGTCCAGCCCTTTCCCAGAGGCAGCTCGGGCGGCTGAGTGAACGCTCGCTCTTGATGTCCGAAAATTCCTAATATATAATATGCATATACATATGCATACCCATATTCGTATATAATTGGACAGAAAGTAGAAATTGCCGTTTTTTTTTCAAAAAGGATACGTATGGAAGCAATATCTACAGTTTTGTATTAGAAAAAAAAATTAAGGTAAAAAAATTGGGCGTACTCGTACATAGGCAGTATCTTTAATTTTAGCTTTTAAGCTTAAACTTTTTTATTTCTTTGTGCATTCCGTAAATTTACATTATTAAAATTGTTAAAACATAATATAAAATTAAACCGAACTAAAACGTTACATACAATATTAAAAAATATATAATAAAGAAAAACTAAAACTTAAAAAATTTAATTGTCATACAGTCCTACTTGCCGGGGTATCGTGCCAAGAACGCTGGCTGCTTTTCCTCGCTCAATAGCTATACTCAGCTTTGAGCGAGAAAAGAACCAGCCCTCTTATCACCAGCAGCGACGACCAGTCGTGGATACAGTTCCTTTAGAAAATTCACATAAAAATGTTACTATGGCTGCAGCACGAATGTGTCGGCTTGATTTAAGAAGGATCATGCTTTTACAAAATACCCAATAAAAGCATAAACGTTTTTCACTAAGAACAATACAGCTTAGTTCCCAGTCCCTTTTTACTATAAACGAAGCATATGAGTTTGTCTTCAAGGCTAACAACACATTTACATTTCGATTCTTAATCGTGGGTATATGTTTATGAGTATCAGCATCATCTTAATGGAGGAATGTGTGTCTTACCTGTCTTACTTTACTCTTACTTCGGTCGTATAGAAACGAAAGTTCTCCAAAATTACCTGAGCTGCTGATTGACGACACGGCTAATTAGTAAAATTGATATTTATTTGGATTGTAGTTGATTTAAAAAAAAACTCTAGTTTTTTTCAGTCAAAATGTAGGTGCTCTTCCGTTTGCTATAATCGCCACACATGGCAGTCAGATTGGGGTACTAGCCGTCTCGCATTTTGAATCTGCTTATAATTGACGTCATGAAGTTTTACTTAAAAAAGATACGGGGTAGTTATACTATGTATCAGAATCTATTAGTTATTTGTAGCGTTTCTAATAGTCGTTTCTTAGGACACCTACGGGATGTAACACGCCGCACACGTGACAATCGATGACTATCGACAATCAAAAAATGTTAATCCGGAATTAATATTACAAGTTAAAAGTAATGGCTTAATTGTACATGATATGTTCATCATTTTCATCCATGTTTAGTAACGCCACTGCTTGATACAGGCCTTTTGAAAAAGAACGAGAAAGAAAGTAAATGCCTTCGTCCCAATACTAAGAATTACCTTCCTCTGTACCTGCAATGTAATAGATGAGGTTTTCAAATGAACTTATTACGGTATACTAAGTTACTCATGTACCAAAATCTTAGACTTGTTTTCAACATCAAAAAAGACTAGCAATTCAATTAAATATGAGCTACGAATATTTTAAAACGATTTATGGATATTAAGCAAGTATCTTAAGCCTAAATGTAAATATCTTTTAAAATGCGTTCAAAATAATCTTGAGACATGACTGGCTGAAAAGCAAAACAATACAATTATAAACAGTCGCGCCAAATTTCCAAACAAACGCTATATACAACTATGATATTATCAGTAGGAAAATAAAAAAAAAAACAAAGGCACTAATAAATAATAAAGTGGAAAGTGACAAAACAATATGTAAATAATATTATTTGGCGGTCGTGCATAGTCATCGAACCAATTTGTTGTTTAGACTCCGAACCGACATTATAGTATGGTGCCTACTTAGAATAGGAAACGAAGTGAGTAGTTATATGCGTTTAAATATTTGCTATAAACAATTATTCTAATTAGACAACAGCGTATAATGCAAAGTTCGTGAAACAAAAATCTTTTATAGTTAGCAGATTTTTGCACTACACCTTGACTGCCTTCAACTACACCTTGAGCTTGTGATAATCCTTAGTCCAGTCAAAAGGGGCAAAAAGTCGAGGCTTTAATTCTTCTATACACTAAATCTTAGCACTGACTTCAGAATCTTTTCTGTAGAAATTATTTTCTACTCTTTAATTCCTTTAAGTCCAATTCTACCTTTTATTGAAAATTTTAATTTTTTTATGGAAAGGATAATTAACGGTCACACATTGCACCTGATCTTATTTGCATGCTGTCCATAGACGCCTACATCTATTCCCAATTAAGAATCAGAATACAGTTTGTGGCCGATGAAGGAAAAGGGGAAATCTCCCGCTGGGCAAGGTGTTCTGCCCGTGGTGCGACGACAGCGCCGCTACAAGTTGTATTGTCACTCCTGAGTATTTATAAGGGTTGCCTCATTACCAATAAATGATGCAAACAGTTATATATATTAGGAAAACACTGCTGCCTTGCTGATTTGTTTCCTCTATCTCATCTTACGACACCCACGGGATGATGTGGGGTAATGGATATTCATACACCGCTACTACACGTCCTTACCTAGCAACCGTAAAACACTGCGGCTGGCACTGTTCTGTTTATGGGCTGAAGATGAACAAGTAGAAGACTAAATATAAAAATCGTTAAAAAGTATAGAATATTGAAGGATTTAAAAAAATATATTAAGGATTTCGAGGAATTAAATAAAATTATAAAGAAGTAAAAGACTACTTAAAGGAACACTATGTCTTCTTTCTTTATGTCACCGACTTCAGAATATGAAATTGTTTTATTCTTTCTTTCATTTAGTTCTTTAAAGTGGGCTATGATTTTTATATAGCTGCTGTCAAAATCTTTAAAAAAAATGGCAAAGATATTTTTTAAATTATATTCATGGCTATAAAAACAAGAGCAACGGTGTCTACTCCACTAATTCTTGTTTTCGTATCCCATTTTGAAATTGGAACGCTCAAGTCATAGACAATAATGATGGTATCGTTAGCCGTTTAGCATAGTACAAGGCAAGTTTGGCAATGGAGCTCGAAGTCACATGTTTATTGTGCATTCAACGCTGTATTTACGAGATGGTTAGCCGGCAATGTGAATTTATATTTATTTATACATCGTCGCGACACATTCAATGTAATTAAAATCTATTACATTCAAATTAACAACACATAAAGTCCGTAGACTTAGAATAAATAGCTAGTACGTCTAACTATTTACAAAGTCCTATGGGTTTATATTTTATGATGTATACCTATATCTAATATTTTGATAGCGCCTCTGATGGCATACTCATACGAAAATCCATCACCTAATATTATTCCTCTAAGGGTGTCAGAGGCAAATATCTGAAATGCCAAAAAGATCTCATTGCCACAATATAATTACGGATTGATATTATATACTGTGTCATTGCTTTCGATAGATATCATTTTGTTTACGCCAAACGCCTGATGCAGCGATCGCCAATCGGCCTTCCAAACATTATAATAATGCATATCCAAGGGGAGAGGTCTACGTCTACATATTTTTTCTTCTTCATTAGCCCGTAAAAGCCTATTGTCGGGCTTTTACGGGCTAATGAAGAAGAAAAAATATATACTCCGTCAGATAGGTACTTGTCCAATCAAGGAAATCTAGAATAAAACTACTTTTACGGATTTTATCGCGTTTAATTCTACTAATTTTTAAATCCCGACGCGTTTTGGGTGCTTTGACATCCCGATGTCAGAGTCAACTCGGAGTACATTCAGCTTTTCAATTATAACTTCTGGTCCGATCTAGGCAGAATGAACTTACTGTATCTTGAAGAGTTGCAGTGGTATGCTTGGGTTTAGTTTCAATTTTATTAATTACAGGATGCCAAGAAGGAGGTCATACCAAGACTTCTTCTCTATTGACATTAGAACGTTTTTTTTTTTAATTTTCATAGGGACGTATCAGGAATCGATGTTCTTTCGCAAGGGTTCGTCGATAGTCCGTCACAAACTGCAGATTTCTGTGTAGTGTTATCCCTAAGGATTATAATATATAATGTCTCGTTACTATTAAAAAGAGTATTCGATATCTGTCACTTACCATACACTTTAACCTTTGGTGCTATGCTGCAATTTTGTTGTGATTGACTCACTTACACAGCTGTTTTGGTCGACTTCAAAAAACTTAGTAAATTTTTAATTCAACTGTATGTTCCTTATTTTTAACAGTCTACCTGATAGTGTGACTTTTGCAGCCTTCAGATACATGCGGCAAATTTTAAAGAAACTGTATCCACAACTGGTCGCCGCTGCTGGTAATAAGAGGCTGGTTCTAAAGTTTAAGTATTCATCGGCGAAACGCTGCCAGCGCACCGCGGGAAGAAGGACTGTATGATAATTTAAGTTTTTAGTTTCAGTTTATTTCGGTAATAAATGTTGTAAAATTGAATGTTATGTACCTAAAAAAATTATGAAGATACCTGAAGCTCATAGGTATGTTGTCACCTTTCTTCAAATTTTTCGCCGATTTCAAAAATGAGGAGGTTTACAATTCAACTGTATGTATTTATATTTTTCTTATAGAATAATGACGTACGAGCGCTCAGTCCACCTGATAGTAAGTGGATGCTGTGGCCCATAGACATCTACATCTATCCTCAACTAAGAATCGAAATACAAATGCGTTGTTACCCCTAAGGACTAAGATAGGAAAAAGTAACAAGTGTCTCCAGTTCTCACCGCTACCATACGAAACACAGCAGCATTAACAGACGAAACTTCGTGTCGTGACTAAAATGGTAGAGCCATGCTGCGGTTATATTAGTAGTATAGTTGTAGCACGAATGGGTCGGCTCGACCGGGGAAGGACCACGCTCTCACAGAATACCAGCGTGAAATAGTAGCTTAATGCTGCTGTGTTTCGTATGGTGAGTGTAGAGAACCGGAGACCGTTTTTACTGAAAATTAGGGATTCCATCTTAGTCCTCACGGGTGACAACGCATCTACATTTTGATTCGTAATCGAGGATAGATGTAGATGTCTATGGGCCGCAGCAACCACTTACCATCAGGTGGACTGTGTGCTGGTTTGTCAACCTATCCTATAAAAAACACCATTCTAATACAACACGTTTTGGGGAAAGGCCATGACGCGTTCTGAACTCAATTTAATGCAACCATTATAGAATGTACGAAAATGTGACAGCACAGTGGTTTGTAATATGGATCCTATTAGTCTTGAAATTAATTTATTTTTGCCTTAAGGTTAAACTACAAGTAGGTAGATGCCCTGGTTATTAGCCTTTTAGTGCCAATTTAGATATTGTAAATTCATGTTGTTTTAATAAGAGCACAATTTTTTAAGCATTTATCCTTGATAGGTTCATCATCATCATCTTTACAGCCCTTCACAAGTCCACTGCTGAACATAGGCCTCCCCCAAGGAATGCCATAAAGCACGGTCCTGAGCCACCTGCATCCATCGACTTCCTGCATGTCTTACCAGGTCGTCACTCCATCTAGTGGGGGGTCGCCCTACACTGCGCCTACCGGTACGAAGCTGCCACACGAGAACCTTTTTTCCCCATTGGTTATCGGTTCTTCGAGCTATATGGCCGGCCCATTGCCACTTCAACTTACTAGTCCGTTGGGCTATGTCGATCACTTTGGTTCTAATGCGGATATCCTTATTTCTGAGTCTATCACGCAGAGAAACCCCGAGCATAGCCCTCTCCATAGCTCGCTGAGCGATCTTGAGCGTCCTCATACGGCCAGCAGTGAAAGACCACGTCTCAGATCCGTAAGTCATCACTAGCAACACGCACTGGTTGCACAGTCTCATTTTCATGTTTTGAGATATACCTGACGAGAAGATGTATCTCAATTTTCCGAACGCTGCCCAGCTGAGTTGAATCCGTCGAGTGACCTCTCGCTCGAAGTTGGACTTACCTAGTCGGACTATTTGTTCCAGGTAAACGTATTCGTCCACAACTTCAAGCATAGTGCTCCCAATAATTACTGGCATAGGTGTGATATGGACATTAAACATGATCTTTGTTTTGTCTATGTTCATATTAAGATCTATATGTTGGGAAACACCATTGAGAACCACCACCAACTCGGGACTGATATATGAGTGCCATCAACGATTCAGTGAAGTATGTAAGCACAACAATGTGACTCTGCAACGGATCAAGGGACACAGTGGTTCTAGAGGCAACGATGCAGCAGATGAACTGGCCAGAAGTGGATCGGCTCTGGCAACTATAGGGCCAGAACCTATAATACCAATCTCCTTTGGGTACGTTCGTTCACTGGTACGTAGATACTTCAATAATTTACACGCTCAGCTTTGGAAAAATTTTGTAGACTGTAGACAAGCTAGGTAGGCCCTGCCTGAAATAAACAGTCGTCTACCCAAGGTTCTAATGAGACTGAACAAGCCACAGATCAGGATAGTAACAAGTGCTATCGCAAGACATGGCTCTTTTAACAAACGTTTGTTTACCATAGGTGTTACTGATAGCCCCCTGTGCAGAGCATGCATGGGAGAGGAAGAAACGGCGGCTCACGTGTTGCTGACATGTCCAGAAGTCGCTTCATAAAGGGCTAAACATCTCGGCACGCCGGGATCGCTCCCCGAAATTGCTTGCAACATCAAAGGACTGTTGAACTTCTTCGGGGAAATATCATGGCTCGAATAACCACATTATTCCTACCCACAAGCAAAATACGCGCTAAGACGTGGTGTTGCGGAAAACAGCCCGTCGTATACTAAAATAAATTAACACCATTGATGGCATTGAGCATAGTGCTTAGGTCCTCCAGAGATTCTGCCATAAGGACTATATCGTCGGCAAATCGAAGGTGAGTGATGTACTCGCCATTGATATTAATACCGTATCCTTTCCAGTCCAGTAGCTTGAAAACGTCTTCCAATGCAGGAGCATAAATTAAGACAGGTAAGAATAATTATTTAATTTTTTTTTGTTTTGGTTTTAAGAAGTTCAATTTTTCTACAGCTTAACACTAAAAAATTAACGAAAAGAAATATTGTTAAAAATTACGTAGCACGTCTATTTATTATTAATTAATCATTCAAATTTTCGAATTATCATCATTATTACAGACGACACAAGCCCACTGCTGAAAATAATATGTAAGAAGGTTGCCGCAAATCACGGTCTAAGTTTAAACTAAGTTTAAACTTTTTGCTTGTTTTTGTTTGTCTCAAAAACACTGAAAATATAAGTAGGGTGTTCTTAATATACAACAAATCGTAGCTGACGCCGAAAATCAAGGAGTGTAAGGAGAGGTAAGGTGAATCAACTCATATAGTAGAATAGTTGAAAAAGTGTCCATCTGTAAGCAGTAAATAACAGTTCAAAAATTCGAGTAGCTAGACTGCAGTCTAGCTGAAATGAACTTAGCAGTTATCGACGGAGTGAAATGTGCCGATTTGAGGAATTTATTATTTGTGGTGACTAAAGTAGTTGATGAAACTGCAATATTTAAAACCTCAACGTGAGTAACGTTGCCTAAACTAATTTAGTAAATGTAACCTATATAAAAAGAATTATTGTGAAAGTCTGTGTAATAAAATGTTATAAAAAGTTCTTTAAAATTTACCCTTTGGCTATAGTGCCCTTATTTAACGTTTAACTGTGGCGATTTAAAGCACCACCATTTCCCGTCCCAGGAACTAAATTTTCTTAATATACCAGTCTGTTGCCTTATTTAAATATTATCTCTGTATTTTAAAAAAAAAGAGCCGTGGTAGCTCGGAGGGTTAGCGCTCGTAAATTTCACAATACGCGAGCAAACCGGGTTCGATCCCCGCCGGCACCAATGAAATTGTTAATTGCAATTTTAGGTGCTGATTTACCACGTGCTCGGCGGTGAAGGAAAACATCGTGAGGAAACCTGCATGTCCGAGAAATAAGAAAAAAAAATATTTCGAAGACATGTGAAGTTCGCCAACACGCATTGGGGCAGCGTGGCGGACTATTCCTTGCCCTAAAACCCTCTCAAAAATGAGAGGAGGTAGTGCCCAGCAGTGGGACATATATAGGCTGTAACTTTACTTTTTACTTTTTTTAAACTTTTTAACTAAAAAACTAAAGTATTTTATGTGGTACTCGTAGGATTGTGAATAATTTTACGAGTGTGCGTAATATGTAAAACTCTTTACCAAAAGAAAAGTGGTATAACATTCTATAAGTATGTGAATTTACAGTTAATATTAAACAAATTGAAACTATTTGATACTGTAGGTACTTAAAAATTTGTTACTAATCTTAATTACCAATATATTTGGCTTTATATTACTAAGTTTTGATAAACAATAACATTCTATAGGTTGTAGAATTCCTTGTCTATAATACTTATCGATGTTCTTTCCTACCCAAAGTCGCCGACAGGAGATAATTATCAAAAAAAATCCCATACCTATAAAAAAATATATATATATATATATATATATATATATATATATATATATATAATAAATAGTGTCCAGAGAGTTTCGCGGCCAATAAATCGATCTAGCTAGGATTTATTTTTAGAAAATAACTTTTTGTCCGTGTTTTCAGGCAATGAAAAACTGCTACAACATAACAAGATAAATTTTGACACTCTTAATGATCGTAATAGCTCAATTGGATATCGAGCGGTTGCGAAATCGTAATGCCTTGGTTCGCGTCCTGTCTTCGGTTCGATTCTTTTTCCTTTTTTTTTCAAGTTCCCTTCTTTTGTAAGAAAATCTATTATTTCGAGCCCTTTTTTTTAGTATTTTTTAAAAATACAAAAATTTTAAGTAAACTAATTGCACTCAAGATTTTTTATTCAAATAACCAGTTCAGTTTTTTCTATTATGTCAATAAGATCAAAAAATATCATTCATCAGTATGTAATTTGTATCTAAATGTAATTAAATAAACTAGCAAAGCTCGGTCATCCGGGTACTATTAATTAATTAACATGTTTCCAAATTGACCTAAACTAAAATTATGGCTTAAAAGCATAAATATCTTGAATTGGCGTTCGAAACAAAATTATCATCCTTTTTTTAAACATTTCGCAGACGACTGTTTTATTAGAATGAGTACAGAATACAATGTTTTCTGGTAGTACCAGTACCAGTAAGTATAAAAGTACGAGGGTGGATTGAAAAGTACTCGGCCTAACCAAGAAAATAAACACATACTAAATCAGTTATATTTTTATTTTTCTACATAATCACCATCAAGTTCAATACACTTTTGCCAACTCCCCTTCCAAGCATTTAGACCGTTGAAAAAAAAATGATTCTTCCTTAGAGTCAAAATATGCGTCTACAGCTGCTTTGACCTCGTCGTTTGTCGAAAATCTTTGACCTCCCAAGTGCTTTTTTAGGTTAGGGAACAGAAAGAAGTCTGATGGTGCCAGATCAGGTGAATACGGCGGATGCGGTAACAGTTCAAAGCCACAGTTGTGAATTTCAGCCATTGACTGTACTGACGTGTGAACACGGGCGTTATCTTGATGAAACAGGACTTTTCTTCTGAGCATTCCTCGACGTTTTTCTTTTATTTCCTCTCGTAAACGACGTAGTAAGGTGCAGTAGTAATCAGAGTTTATAGTCTGACCCCTTTCAAGATAATCAATCATAATCACACCTTTCGAGTCCCAGAATACTGAAGCTATCACCTTATTTGCCGACAAAATCGACTTAGCCTTTTTAGGGGGTGGTAAACCAGGTCTTCTCCACTGTTTTGATTGTTGTTTTGTTTCCGGTGTACAGTAATGAACCCATGTTTCGTCCATAGTAACAAAACGATTCAAAAAATCATCTGCATCGGCTTCAAATAACTCCAAACAGTCGCGTGAAATAGTCAATCGCGTCCTTTTTTGTTCAACTGAAAGCAGTCGCGGAACCCACCTCGCAGACACCTTGTGGAAACCCAACTCGTTGACAATGATGTTTTGAGTTCGTTCATAAGAGATGCCTATAATCTCGGTTATCTCTCTAATTTTTAATCTGCGGTCTCCCATTATTAAATCAAGTACTTTTTTAATATTTTCGTCAGTAGTTGACGTCGAAGGCCTTCCAGAGCGGGGTTCATCTTTCACACTCTACCACGCTTAAATTCTGCTATCCATTTTTTGACGAATGAATATGACAGAGCACAATCGCCTAATGTACTGACCATGTCATCATGGATGGCTTTTGATGATAGCCCCTTCTTATGGAGGTACTTAATGACGGCACGCTGCTCGATTTGCTCCATTCGCGGAAATTATGTCCCATTACTTTGTTAATAAATTTATAAAATCACAACTAATTATAGCACACGTTTCGAACTTCACACAATGAACTAGTCTGAACTGAACTAAATAATGTGGGTAGATTTGATTTTTAGAATTGAATGGATCTGTGTTAGGCCGAGTACTTTTCAATCCACCCTCGTATTAGATTATTATTTCGAATGTTTTTTATTTCTTCATTTCTCATTTTCTCTCAAACTCAAGGGCCAAAATCAAGTTAGAAAGGGCGTAAATTTGTTAGCTCTTATTAAATATGACCAGTTTATTATATCAAGGAAATAAATTTATATTTAGACTGCAAAAAGCTCAAAGTCGCTCAGCGAGCTATGAAGGGGGCTGTGTTCGGGGTTTCTTCGTGATAAACTTAGGAATGATCATATTCGCTGTAGAATGAATCTCATTCCATATATTTTGTCACACTGTCTTATCTCTATTAGGTATTATTATTATTAGGTATTAGGTATTAATTCCGTGGATGTTCACTTCTGCTGTCAGCGCCAAAATGGCGTTAATCAATTCGCCTCATTAGATCACGGTATTTAGCCAGTTCATATATAGAGGTCAGTGGCTAACCCTGGTTTATATTATGTGACTGAAGTTAGGTATCTTCTTATTAGATGGCATGTTGATTCCATATCCCATCCCCATCTTATCCAATAGCTTAAAAGTGTCTTCCAATGCGGCGGATATTACATCTATGCAATTGGACAGTATTGGATATTATATCTCAGTAATTGGTTTTAAAAATAAACATGGTCAAAGCAAATAACAAGTTTTTTATTTTTATTTAATAAGTATTAATATATACCTATATATAATTTTACATATTTATTACATATTTAGTTTTATTTTGCAAACTTTTAAAACTTAAGCTCTGGCTAGACCGCCACATAGCAAAAAAAACTTTTCTGTTACTTATGTACTTTCAGTAACGTAGGAAGGAACATTCTAATTCCGTGAGCCCATGAAAATCGGCATTGGCAAACGCCAAGAAAACCGATTGGAAGACCTGTCATGCGAAGGCCTGATTTAAAATATAAAGACCGCCCAATTGGAGCTGTACTATATACCAATAAAATAAATGAGACTAATAACCAAATAGGGTGATTACGATTTATCTTAGAAAGCCTATCTAACATCTAGCAAAAATAACGCTGGTGTCGATTGCGATCAAAAACTAACTACTATTGCCATCTAGTGTCGAATAGTATTACTAAATCTATTTTTAAAATGCAACCTTGTCTATGGCATTTGGCACGGCCACTTGAGTGAAGTTCAATTTTGACAGTTGTAATGTAACAGTGCTCATCCTATTTTTTATATCTTCTTGCATTTTGATACAAAATATTAGTAATTCGCGAAGTGGTATTACGTGAACAAGATGAAAATACGATCCCACGCACTTCGAGAACGGTGGAATGCGGCCCGCTAGCATCGGTGAGTGTTAAAAACTACGCGTAATGTCCTTATTTTTAACTGATTAAAAAAACTGTAGTCAATTGGCTGTTAACCTTTTAACTAAAGGCGAGAGACGCGTAATTTGACGCTGTGCCGTGTATAATTTTATTAGGATTCGCATCGCGACTGAATACATTACTCCCAGCTCATTTCGTCCTTCGTTAGGAAGTTTTTGGCGTTCTGCATCATTAAAACACCAAACTGTCGTTACTTATCGTACGTAATTATTTCGTTATCTCTATTAGTACAAAATTCACGTTTAAACCTTTGATTGGCTTTAAACTACTTGATAATATGTTAACTGACATTGTTTAGTTATCATTTTTATATAATTTAATCAGGTATAGCGGCGATTGGGATCTATTATTTTATTGTGTAACATTGTATGTCTTAAAGCTACAGCTAATCGTTTTACCTAGTTAAAAGTTTATTATTTTCAATAGAAATGGTGGTGTTATTAAGTGCTTCAAATTAATTTCAATTATTTTTTGTAACATTTGTGAAGCGGTTGCTATAAATTATCATTCTCATATTAATAAATATAAGATTAACCTCTGTGTATCCATTTCCAACAATAAAGACAATTATTCGTAAGTAAAATTTAAGTTTTGTTGCATGTCGGATTAAATTTTAAATATTTTCTTCTATATATTTGATAAAATTATGCAAATGCAATCTATCTAATAAGTTCAAACAAACCAGTTTTCTGTCCTGACTTTTAGAAATAAAGGAATGTTGATTTTATAAAAAAAAAGAACTTGGTGTTTCCAGTTTATCATATAAATGCTGTTAAAGCTCTTAAGTAAGCTCTTTGTCATTTCCATTAATATATTTGAACTGATTTTCAGTGGCAGATAAAAGTTATCTACCATATAATTATAATATAAAATTCAAACAATTGAATTATTTTGTACATGCAACTGCAATTTTTTTAAATGACTTGGAACATCAAACTTATAAAGGTTTTAAGCAAATGAGATGGTAAATGTAAAATGTTTGCATGCATAGACAGTTAGCAAATAATTATTGACAACTAACAAAATAATTGACATATTGAATTAATCTGGTTATTCACATGCATTTCTCTCATGTGACCTGCAACTTGTTTTTTTTTATAAAATAAAAAACAATGAGTTGAAAGTACAATAATTAAAATTTGTTTTTTAAATACTACAATTACTCTAATTAAAAAAAAATCCCAACAAAAAAACCAAGATTCCTTTATTAGAACAATAACAGTCAATAGTTAACACTTGTTACTTTTCTGAATTGACTTACTAATACATTTACATTGTGCTAGTTCTATTTAGCATGTTCTGATATTTTCTTATGTGTGCTATTTTAAACTTTATTTGTATCGGCGTAAGATTCACAACATTGCTCCAGCTCTTTGACACTCATCTTAAAAGCTATAGTAAGGGTGTAATTTCACTAGTGTGAAATAATAAAATTATCACGATATGGTTACTCATCATAATCATTACAACCTTTCAAAACTGCTGAATGTAGGTACTTAGGTAGATACTTAAAATACAGTCTAACTAAAAACTTCCTCCTTTCTTGAAGTTTGCTAAAAAAACTGCCAATATACAGTAGGGTTTCGATAATTTGAACACACAAAATTTGCACCCTGTTCGGATTATAGCATGTAGATATTTTTATAAATTAGCCCCTGAAATACAGGTATAATATCTTAGATTAAGGGCGGTTGACCACTGTAAATTCATGTAATATGTTTATCAAAAAAGACTATTATTATTATTTTAAAAGCTGTTTTTTGTAATGAAACGGATTTTATAATTGAAAGTGAATACAAATTTTCATCAATATGTATTAACTGTAAAAAATCTTTGACAAGTGGTGTTTAATGACAAAGAAAATGCTTTATCCTCTAATTTACGCAATACCATATTTTTTGAAATTGAAATATCTACTTCAGCAGGAAGATTCATTCGGATTATAGAGGCGGTGGAATTAGCTGGGATTCAAATTATTGAGGCTCTACTGTACGTAGAAATATTCCTAATTTACTTTGCAGAGGGATGGTCTCTTATTTGGCGAGTAGCAACTTCTTTCCTTACAAGAAAGTTTTTTTTGTTTTTTTAATAATTTGCAGCTATAGATTGTTAAAAAAAATCTAAGCGTAAAACCTTATATTGTACCAGCGACAGGCCCTGTCTTCGCCTTACTATTAATGTGGCATTATTTAAATTTAAGATAAAGACCATTTATTTTTTAAATTTTATGTCTTCAAGTTTTTCGAATAATATTTATAGCCTAATTCATTTGGATTTTTTTATATCTGTTCATGAAGTTTCATTACAAACGGGTTCAGCCTTTCCGAAAATATCTTAAATTTTTAAAAATATTTAATTTTTTATGTTTTAATGGCTCGCAAATAACCCCTTAGCTCAATGTAATTATTTAGGTATTAACTGATTCTAATTCTCCGCAAAGTAATAACTAATTCTGTTAACTGTCAGAACATGAACTAAAAATACTTTGAACTTAGTTTACGTCTTAAACTATATTATGTGCATTTAAGTTTTATGATTTATATAGCTTTACCAGTTTATTCATTCACTTTATTTTAAAATACGCCCTAGTGTGTTGAAGGCCTTAGTCCATGGGGACAAATTTAACGACATTTATTGCTTGTTGCCGACGAAACAATAAAGCTAATACACTTTCTTAGGTTTTATTACGGATTTTATCAATCATCAAAATCTTGTGTTCTACGTTTATGACGTATTTAGCAATTAAAAGCATTAAGTTAAAAAATAAATTGATGTATTTTATATTTTGTCGCAACATATTATGCGAGCGCAATTATCTGGGTGTGGTTGAAAATTGAGAATTACAACATAGCTATTTATAATTTCCTACTGTAACTAAATCTGAAACTATAAAGTTACTATTTAAAGTTTAAAGGCTGTACATGTTACTATTTTATTTCTGTCGCCAAATAGCAGTGCGTGTAATGACGTATGTGACTTTTGAGGTCTAGAAATTGTACATGTAGAATATATGGGGTATTTCTAATACTATATATCGAAGGTCACGAGATAGCATTTCTCACAGTCGATTTTTTTTAAACTGCAAGCAACTATATGGCAATAAAATATTACTTTTATTCTATCTCGCGGGCTGCCTCGTGAGAGTTCGCGAGATAATAGCTTACTGTCAAATCCAAAAAGTCTTTTATAATACAGCTACTCCCTTAGCGATCGCTGTAAATATGATATTTGTTAGGTTGGCCGCATATATTTATTTGGTAGGCGTACGTGAGCCACTCAGATTCAACGCTGCCGCATCAATGAAATTGTTAATTAGTTTTAAATGCTTATTTGCCACGTTCTCACCGGTAAAGGAAAACATCGTGTGGAAACCAGGATCTCTCAGAAATTAAAAAAAAATCGAAGACATGTGAAACACGCCAACTCGGCAGTGCGGCGAAAATTTCCTTGCACTAAAACTCTCAGAAATGAAGAGGAAGCCTATGCCCAGGAAAAAGACATATATAGGCTGGCAACTTTAATATCGAATAGTCACACTAACTTACAGATAGTGACTACGAGTCATTCTCAAACAAAAACAGTTCTTTATGATGTTTTAGCAAATGTGGTGACCACTTTTTTTTTTTGCGCCCGAAGCAAATATGGGCAACCCTCCGGAAAGCGGGGGAGGGAGGCGGTGAATGCTCATAGCATACCACGCAGCCGGCTGCGTGGTTATGTGGAGACTTTTACCCACTAAACACCGCCTTTTAGGAATTGGCTTAACGATCTGACTAGAGATCTCTAAGCCGTATACGAACGCGACCCGCCTTGGCAGAAAGGAGGGCGCAAGCGGCGAAAAGCCGCTTAGAAGAGTGCCTTACTAAGGCAGATTAAGGGATGTGCTATGTAGGCTCGGCCTGAGCCGCCAGGAGGCAGTTCAGGTCGGCCGAAAGCTTGTTGGGGGGGGGGTCCGAGAGAGAGTTTCTCGGGCTGCGCACACTATAGCGAGGGTGGATAGGGGGAATGAGTGTGGATAGGGGAGTGGTGACCACCTATACGCCGCTCTCCTTGTGGATGTACAAAACACGCGCTAACCAAATATTAAGGTTTATTTATCTCCCTATGGCAGTAGCAGTAAGCAGTGACTTGCCCTTTAATGATTTTATGTTTATACGAATACTGCAAATTTAATTAAACTCAATTTTTTGGGTTTTATCGCGTTCATTTTTTTTCACTTTGAGTGCTTTGCAGAACCCATGTCAGAACGTAGAATATCATCATAGTGTACGGATTTTATCCAAGACAATTATTTTTATAGACAAACAACAAGTACTATAATTGATAGAATCAGGCCTTAATTTTCGAAAATGCATTATAATAAAGATATTAATAGTTAATAAAATAAAGTGGTATCTTAGCGGTCAGCCGCGGTAGAGTCAACATCACCTGAAGATGCCTCGTGTAGAGGAGAAACACGTGTCGTATTATCGTCGATGGTGTGTCTTTCCTAGAATAGTGGTGTTGGGAGTGGTGGCGTTGGGAGTAGTGTTGCTGGGATTGATGGTGACGGGATTAGTGTACGCAATTGAGGGAGGGCGGGAGGTGCTCTTCAAACTAGGGAAGACATTTTATTTAATTTAGCGGATGGTTGCAAAATAACTATTAAACAACAAGTACTAGTTTATTTGTTGTTTGTCTTGTCAACATTACGCGAATAAAGACGTAAAAGTTAAGCTTCCACTTCGACCGTGTAGTGACGGTTAAATAATGTCCATTAGTGTAATACCGTGGGTGTCGTAAGAGGCGACAGAGGGAAACATAGAATACTATAATACATACATAATAGAACGGAGGAGTGGGCGGAGCCCGCGTAGCCACTAACATGTCAATTCACACGTATAAATGTCAACACGAGATGTTTTTTTTTTTATAGGATAGGGTGACAAACGAGCACACAGCCCACCTGATGGTAAGTGGTTG